AGAATGACTCTAGGCAGCAATCACATCCACAATAAGTTAGCTGGTAAGCTTAGTTAAAAGCTATTTGGACTGGCATCGTTCAGACTTGAGTTCTGTGTGATTTAATAGGAATTACAGTGTGTAAAGGAGCATGAATGACAGTTTCCACCTTCTGTCTGGTACTCAGGGACCCAAATGTAAATCAAGACTGAAATACAGCTCTATGAGTTACTTCCCAGAGACCCTTATCTTAATTCTTGCCAGGATTACACGTGTGCTGGTCTCATTTAGTTCTGCTATGAAAGTGGTGCCTGAGGCTTGTTAGTTTGCCGTTGCGTTATCAAATGCTGATAGAATGAGTGTGTCAGAACATATGGAGACAGAAGGCTAATTAGCAGAAGTCACAGTGTTGGAGCTAGTCTGCGGTGTTTGACTGGAATGCCTCAGAGATGATGAGCATGAAAGTTGTGCTTTGTGTGCAGGCAGTGTGGGATGGGCAGAGCCAGATGCTGCTGGTGTTGGCACGGCATGCTGAATCCCAGCCTTCATGGATAGCAGGGGTCTTGGTAGAGACAAAATGTCAGTGGAGAAACTGCTTTGTGGTGAGGCACGGTTGTGAACATGTGATGTTTTGGTTGGTTTTTAAAACCTTTGCACGAGTTTTAGCATAAAGAATTGGATTGCTACCCAAGGAAGCTGCTTGGAAAACCCATGTTTGGTTCTTTTATGTAGGATGGGCATATCGTGGTTGCTTTGAGCAACGTTTTTGTCTGTTGATGTGCTGAAATGTAACTGTCTTTCACAGAGGCTGAGGTATGCTAAGCTCACTTTGTTATGCCTTGTGGAACGCGTGGAATTGCAGTGGAGCAAAGGCTACCACGTTAGGCTATGTCTTTGTAAATGCTCAGAAAAAAATGAGCAACGTCGATATTGAACAACTCATTTTGGTATGTTCTGTGATGCCAGTTTGTAGATAGTTTGGCTGTTTGTAGGCGGAGCAGACTGTCTGCTGTCCAGGTAACCGGTGAAGGTGAGAGGTGAAGGAATGGAGATTGCATTGAGGTCTGGTACCGGGAGACATGTCTGGTCCCTGCATGCTGCCCATTACTCACAGCAGCAGGAGCTTCGTGTTTGTCTGCAGGGTGCAGTGCCTCCATTCTCAGCCGCATCTTGATTTGCCCTAGCTCTGCTGCAGAAGCACTTTTATGTGAAGTTCTCTTGTGACAGATAGAAGCAATTGTTTCATCCCATCTTCTCCATTAGGTACAACCTTTAAAACTCAGTTATAGTTAGTCAGTTGTTACCAGAATACACAAACCCTATGTCATCAGTGGAACTTGATGCTTGGATTCTTATCTCGAAGGGAACCCAAATCCCCACCAACGCCCGCCACTCCGTACAGCTTTGTGCTGTTACACGCAGTTACAACTCTTGTAGGCTAGGTCATTAAGTCCTTGAGAAAACAAATGAGAAATGGTGAAATATGTGAGTTCTGTTGAAGGAATGTTTTAGTCTGTAAAACAAGCTACAGATCCTTAGTTTTTTCTCTCCGCTCGCTTTAAGTAATTCTTGAACAATTTGCTTTCTTTCCTGCCTCGGCTAGATAATTCCATGCTAAGCACTATGAAATGCCTTGGTAAGAAAGGGAGTGGGAAATGTCTGTAAGTGTGACACGTGAAGGTACAGCTGAAATCACCCGCTTTAAACATGTGTTTGCCTTTGGTCACTTTTTTCCTAGTTACAAAAGATTGTGGCTTACATATTACCTTTGAATGACAATTACTGTGTTTGTCAATGTTAGATACTAATGTTGTGTTTGCTAATTGGTAATTACTTAACTCCTAATGGCACAGGTAGGTGACTGTTCAAGAAATGCATCAAATTTATTTGTAAAGGGTACTTTATAGAAGGCTGGGGACTGGTAACTGCTTTTTTGTTCTGTGTGAGTATTTTCAAGTGGGAAAAGTTGGAGAGTTCATCAGATGAAGAGGAGAAAAACTATTCACAGTAACTAAAAGTGGACTGCTAATGGCATGTGGGTGTGAAAGAGAGCTGAATGCAGTCTTAACATGCATTAGGGATGCATTACTGTTACTGTTAGATGGACTGAGGGCAGCTTGCCTGGATTTCTGTGTACAGTTCTGGTCCATTGTCAAGCACAATGAATCAAGAGCAGAAAATGTTAATGGTGTTCTCGGGGAGCTGGGCTGCTTGCCCTGCGTCAGGTTGGTCTGTTCTTAGTCTGTCAGTGTGACAGAGGTGTGGGAGCTGTACTTCTGAGAGGTGGTGGAGGTACAACAGCCGTGCCCTACGGTCTGTGACTTGGGGGCAGTGTAGCTGTTGGAGCTAAAGTTTTGTTAGTTTGAGATGGAGAATGCAGGGGTCTGTAGCTGTATGTAGGTGATATGTTAGCTACTTAATGCTATATGTTGTTATTATAAATATTATTAGCTACTTAGTACTAATTTGCTCATAGTTTTATATATAACGTATTTATACACACTGATATTTTATATAATGAGATATATGCACACAGCATGTGAGATGGTCCTTTTCAAAATGGTTTAAGCTGATCTCTTGAATTAGAACACAAGTCCTAAGAACATCTACATTTGCATATTACTTGCAATCAATTCTGGTATTACTTTTAATACAGAAATGAAGCTGAATTTATGTAGGCTTCTTATTGCTTAAGGCAAAAAAAAAAAAAAAAAAAAAAAAGGATGAGACTATGGCAACATTCAGGATCTCCTCTTCAGAAGAAAAGCGGCGGGTAGGCATTCTGTGCCAACTCTGTGCTGTCCATTTGGAACTGTTAAGCCTAAAAGATTGCTTACTGGAATTTTTACTTGTGGCAGGTTCTGCTGATACTGCATATCTCTCCTGTGAGCCATTCTATCAATATAAAACAGAGTTGCCTTTGGTCAGCAGGCTGCTGACATTGCTGTACTGCTGCTGTAGTGCATCCTCAGTGGCATTTAGCCGGTATTTCTATCTTGTCAGAGGGCCTGTGCTCTCTGCTCTAGCAAAAGAAGAGGGCTGGATTGTGATCATCTGCATTGGAAAGTATAAATTTCTGCTTGCAGATCTGTTACCAAGTAATTCAAAGTTCGGGTGGGCTAAATTCATGGCAGTGTATGTTTGCATTTTCGGAATTTAAAGACCTTATCGATGCTCATCTTTTACAGCTTCTATCAATGCAAAAAAAAATTGGCTTGCTATTAAGTGTCCTTGTTTTCTTACATGTCCTTGCTGTCTTGTTGCCCTGAGGATTCTTTTTTGGATGCGTTCCTGTTTTTGTCTATGAAAGCTGTTCTTGGATAACCTACTTAGCATGCTAGATTACTTTATTTGTGATAGTAAAACAGTTTCATGTCATGTTCAAGATGGATGTCCTATGGGAAAAGTCAGGATCAAGTGAAGTTGGGAAGGAGCGAGAACTCTTGAAGTTCCCCTGTAATAGTAAGGGCAAGATTTTAAAAGAGATACATCGTACTTACACAATGCATAAAAGAAGCAAGGAGATAATTTTGCTGCTTACGTTACATAAGGGGGAAGAAAGTGGAATTGAGTTATAGAATCCCAGAATGGTCTAGGTTGGAAGAGACCGTAAAGACTATCCAGCTCCAAGCCCCTGCTGGGGGTTGCCCCCCACTAGAGCAGGCTGCTGTAGGTGGAATAAAACAGCAGAAAGTTTGTCCTTCTCCTGTGCTAAGTTTGAGTTGGTCTGCCTTACCTCTGGCAGAAGTACAGCTGATAGGTTTTGCGGTCAGGTTTACAAATATTAGAGACACTGTTGCATAGTTGTCACTATCTGACTCCCGTTCCTGCAGGTGAAAAAGAAGAGGTCATTATCTTCAATTCATTTGTTGTATTCCACAGGACCAGAGAAGAACTTTGCGCTCAGTTCTGCCAAACGCTGCTGAGGGAAGGAGGATGAAGTTAGCATTGACCTGGGGCACACCAGAAAGCTTCACTGGTTTAACTACTGTGTCAGCGTAGAGAAAGAGCAGTGCTTTAGGTGCATGGACTTGCTTATTATTATTTTTTTTTTGCCTTAAGCCAGATGTATTTTAGTTTGGTTTAAATTCACTATAAGCTTGCTTTTATAAATAACAGAAATAAGACTTCTGACAATCTTTTCAGCTCAGGAGCTCCTGGCCAGGCCCTGCCTGCCCAGCACAGCTGCCTAGAGAGCACGTTGGCCTGGCCAGGGGCAGTTCTTTGCTGCAGTGGCAAAACACGTTTCCTGAACAGCAAAAGTGAGCTTGTTGCGAGTTGTGTCTGCAGCACCTGGTTTCTGGTCATAGCATGTTTGTGTTTGTTTGTTGGCTTCCTGTTGTCACCAGGTTGTGCTGCAGCTGGAGGTGGAGCTGTGCCAGCACTGGGTGCGTGAGGGACATGCGTTCAGGTAGCTGTGCTGGCGTGTCTGCTCCCAGGCGCAGGCCACGCAGTAACGGCGAGCTTCTGGGAGGGCAGCTTTGTGCAGTTCTGCAAAGGCTGTGCCAGGAGGACACGCTGCAGCACAGTCCTTTTCTGCTGGCTGTGTGCGCTGCAGGCTCAGCCTCGCCACAGCAGTGCTGGGCGTTTCAGGTGCTGATAGCACAGAGCTGAGCCTCCTGCGTGGGGACTGCAGGCCTCATCCTCAGTCCTCCCAGCCCTGGAAGTTGTTTGTCAAGAGGTCACATACCTCTTAGGGAAGAGAAACCTACTTTTTTTTTTTTTTTTCTTTTTTTTCTTTTTTCTTTTTTTTGAGTACCTGAAGGTGCTCAAGAATCTTATGATGTTGTTAAGAACTTATGATGTTATCATAAGAAACTTATGATGTTATTAAGCATTAGTAAAACAGTAATTCATTGCTGCACTAGCAGAAGCCTTCCATGAGGGAGGACTGTAGCACAGAGCTTTGATCTGTACTGATGATAAGTGGTTCAGTTCAGACGGCGGCTTTGAGGAACCGCCTACTTTGTCAGCTTCAGTGAAAGCCCCTTCTGTTGTTATGCTCGTTAGCATAACCTAGCAGTTATGCTAGGTGCACATCCCTGGTGTGGTTCCTAGCTTCAGGTTTGTGCCTGTGCTGAGCCTGATCAGTGTATCAGTTTGTAATATAAGAGGTATCATCTCTTTGGCTTGGGCATTAAAATGCGTGGGATAGAGGTTATGCAGGCTTAGAAGTGCTTTGGCTTATGCTTTCTTGTTTTTGCATGTCTCCATAAATGTGAGTGGTATTTGAGGAGGCACAAATCTCTCTCTCCTTAGACTGTGCATTTGGAAAGATAAGAGTATTTTGTGTCAAATGCAGCCCTGCCAAGCCCTTGCAAGAACATTAAAATACAAGTAATGGCTAAATTACCCGAAATTGCTTTACGTTCCTCTGGTCCAAGTCTGTTGTATTTATTCTTTCTCAAAGGATTGAATATATACCAGATAGTTCTTATTAAATAATACCATGTTATAAATCAACCCTGATACATTATATTCTGGCCCAGAGAGCTCTGTTGCTGCTGAAGTATCTGACACATCTCAGGAACAAGAGGAACAGGATCAGAAAGCTAAACTTGCATCCTCTGAAACCAACAGGTTCAGGGTGGTGTAATGGGAACAAAGCAGCACAGGATGGGGGCAGACCTCGGTCTCAGGAAGGAGGAGAGGGTTTTTCACTTCACTAAACAGAATGGAAACTAATGAGCTGCACAACATGGGAGTTAGGGGAAAAGGAATTGCATTCCTCTTGACAAGCTGTTTTGTTCTTGGGCAGAGAGGCTGAGGGAGTGCTGCTGAAGTTAGTCCTGGAGCTGGGCAGGGGAGTGCTGGGTGGCTCCCAGCTGGGATACCCCACTGCTGTGCCGGCTGTGCTTCTCAAACCAGCTGGTAGAAGCACACAGATGGGCAAAGTAGACATACCTGTGTGTGCATGTCTGACTGACAGTCATCAGTGAAACCATCCACGAAATATTCTGTCACAAATGGAACTATAATATGTCATACTGTTAAAAATACTGGGAGATGTTCAGGATGAGAAGTCATTTTTGTACCCCTCTTTGACATTCACTCCTGTTTGGAAACGGTGTCAGATGTGCTGAAATGAGTATGTGTGCCAGAAGCCTGAGGCAGGAGGGAGCTGGGCAGCGTTTTTCTGCAGCCCCTCCTTGTGACCAAGGCTGCAGCCAGGGGTGGGCTGTTTGGCCATCCTGCCTGCCTGCCTGGTGCATGTCTGCCTCCTACTGCGGGCACCCTGGGGCCTTCAGCTGGCAGACAGCTGCTTGAGGCCAGCTGCTGGCCTGCTCCTACTGGCTGAGCAGCACAGGAAGGTTCATGGTGTTCTTCAGACCTGAAACGTAACCCTACCTGCCACAGAAGGGTGGGAGACAGAGGAGACTGTTATGGCCAAGATGCAGGGAGAAAGAATGTGCCATTCAAGCTTGAAGAATGCAACATGCATGACACAAGGCTTGCATTTGTGTGCTGCTGTGTTTCCAAGCGCCAGGGTTGGGACAGGCTTCCCAGGTCTTTTCTCAACAGGGAGAGGAGCCCTGTATAGTTAAACTATCTGTGAACTGGAATCTTACAATTTAGCATTTTTATTTGGGAGTGTGGTTTCCTTTGGTTTCTGCTTTCATTTTCCAAATTTCCCAAGCCTGGAGAGATGGGATGTACCAGTAGTGCCAGGCAGAGAGACAGCCCCACCAGAATCACTGTCAGAAGGTGTCCGACAAGCTCTGCAGCAGTTTCACTCTTGTACTACATACCTCGATAGTGAGGAGGACTTCTTACACTGGCATATGCTTTAAGGATGAGCCGTAAAGCAGCCCTCCCATCAGGGCTATCTTCACCCAGGTGTGAGGCTGTATATACTGCATTGTCTGCTGTTAGAACTAATTCACATCCATAGTCCTAATTCACGCCTTTTTTGTTGCGGTCCACCAGACACGTCTTGCATCTTGGCAGGAGGTAATGAATACTCTGTGTTGTTACCTCTTTGGAAGTATTGGACAACCATGTCAGAGTGTACCTGGGCTGTTTGATGGAGCTGGTCTGCAACAGTACAAGACTTAAGAAGGTCTTTGTAGTGGAACTATCAAATAAAGCATTTAAATTTAACAGTTTTTAATATCTAAGCTTCCTAGGAGACTCTTCACTGTTGACTGCCCTTCAATAAATATGCTGCAGTTATATTTGCTCTTTCATCAAAAATATTGATTTAATTAAAGTGTTATTTATTGTTTCTTCTTTTTTAACTGTAAAAATAGGAGAAAATCTCTGTTATGGTGCTAGCTGAAACAAGTGCTGTTTTCCGTGTGGTACAGGTTACTAATGCTGCTGATGTTAATTTACAAATAACAAAGATAAACTTGTACAGAAGTGAGACAGGTAGCTTGGCTTCTCATAAATGTTTTTTCTTGAAGCAGAGAAGAGTGGTTTCACCAGTCTAATTTGTTGCTGTCTGGATTATCTACACAGTAAAAGAGAACATTTCCCATATTGGTTTATTGGGTTGCCTGGTATTCTGCAGCAGCAAATTATCAACGGTCAGAATGGGATATTCTTATTCTCTTGTGTTAAACTCTACCCCAAACCTCTTCCCACGTACCAGAGCAACTGTCAGTTTCGTAAGGAATGTAAGCTCCTACATTTTCATGGAAGATACCTTATTTGTTTTGAAGAGTTACTGTTCAAAATCAGTGTTTGACTCTTTCAGAACTTGCCCGGGATGGTTGGCTCAGTCCAGCCATAATTGTAAGAATGACATGTCCTGGGGACATGCTCTGCAGAAAGGACGCAATTGAGATGAGGCTCTCAGGCAAATGGCTATTTAAAACAAGCAAAAATCCATATTATTGAATAAGTGATTTGTACCATGAAATGTTCACTAGAAAATCAGCACCTCATCCTGGTATAAAACAGGGTAGGTTACAGTAAAAGGAATGTTTGAAGGAACTGATATACAGAATGGTCTGGAAGCACTGAATAATTCATTTATTAATATTGTTGATTGAAATATGTAAAAGCAACTTGCTGCTTTGAAAGTAATGTCAGGTGAATATAACCTAGAGAAGCAAACTTGAATGTAGGGAAGAAAGTTTCTCTTTCATTTCTGAGTGAATCATTCAGCATTTTAAAAAGAAGTGGACTGAGCCACAGTTAATAAAGCTCCCTTTTTGATATTAGCATCAAATGTATCCTTGGTGAGATGGACTTCCCTTGGCTCTAAGGTAGAGAGCATGACGTGTTTTAGGACTATTTTGTGAATTCAGGAACTGTTGCTTGGAAAAAAGAGAACTGTAGCTACCTTGTTTTAGTTTAAAGAGCAGTCCAGGTGTATTCCTCTGTGAAGTGAGATGAGATTTTTATGGCTTTGAAATGACAATAGAAGGTATGAAGTACTGGTTCTGAATTGTGATTTATTTTTTTTTAATTTCTATTTTTTTGGAACACCAGTTTTGGCTTTGCTAGAGCATTGGCTGTTTTTCTCGTTTCCTGATTCAGAACTGCATCTAAAAATATGTCATTTCCTAATATTGATTTCCTTTAAGCAGCAGTAATAGCGTGTGTGAGGATGTTATGTCTGCATTGGGAAGGGAAAAGTTGCCCAGGGTTACGCATAGCAGCGAGGCACTCACGGGACGCTCCCTGTCTGAACGTGCTCTGCAGCATAAAAACAGGCTAAGGCCTCTCCAGGGTCACATGTGTGGATTTCGCTGTCAGCTGTTGAGTTCATAGGTTGCTGTTCAGCTGTGTTCTTCACATTTGTTTTTCCCTTTCAGAGATCTTTGGGGATCCTGGAGATGCAAGGAACAGCAAATAGGAACCATCAGCATTTTGTTCAGTGAAACCAGCAACTTACGCTGATGGTGTCCATAGGAATGGCAGAATTTCTGACAGCAGTTCCTTTTTAGTGAAGATGGCCAAGGAGATTTTTCAAATGGAGGTAAATGCATTTAACTTCCGCCTAATTTGGCTGGCATTGATACCCTCCTCATAAGTAGCCCTATAAAAAATACGTCTCTAACATATAAAGTAGAACAAGATTGTAAACATTCTGGCAACAACTCATGTTTGTAACACCAGAGGTTGTTTGCTCAGCAGTACATGCATGGGTCAAAGGTCTGAGGGAAAGGAATATTTGTCCTGGAAGCTCTTGGAGGTGGCAGCCAGCTGTTGCTGGTAGCAAGCATGTGCTCCTATGTGTGATTGATTTATTTGGGTCTTTCTGTTCTCATAGCTCTTCCCACATGATGTGTGTAAGGGAATCACAAGGACTGGTCAGCCTGCTACCGGTGCTGCTGAAACCACGTGGCGGTTCCATCTGATGTTCTCGGCTGTATCCAGCAGTGTGTCTGAGAACAGAACACGGCTTGGACATGATTGCTTAGTGTGAAGCAAGTATTAAGTGAGAAACACATAGTATTGTAGCATTCCAGCCAAGAAAACAATGTTTTCTTTATTTCATACACAGCCTACTGCCATAGCAGATACTAACAATGTATGTAAGACCTGTAAATGTTTAATTCAGCTTGTTTTTCTGCTAGAGAAATGTTTAGGAACGATATAGGATGTCTCCTGAACGTAGCTGAAGAGTTGGTTTTTTCTTAGCCTCACATCCTGGAAGAATGTGTTTTTGATGCCAGGTCAGATCCAGTCCCAGTCCCAGCTGAAGTGCTTGTTGCACTGCTTGCTGTCTGCAGGAAAACAGAGTGCTAAAGGTTCCTGATAGAAATAATTCCAGATTTTGCACTGGTGAGAATATAGGGAGTGGTGGGAGATGGAAAAAAAAATGTGTGAGAGGAGGCTGTAAAATGGGGCGTGTGCCTGCTGAGATGTGTGCCAGGCTGCAGAGAATGCAGGGGGGTTTCTTGGCACAGCTCAGGTGTGAGCTACACTGCAAACAGAAAATCTTGTTCTCAGCATTTGCAAACTTGCTGGAATTCTCAGAGTTTGTATGTTCCTCCTCACAGTAAAATGTAATGTCTTCTGCAGATCTGTATAAGGAGAAGTTTGTTGTGTATTTGATCATTGTTTCAATATCTGTGAGTACCATTAGAAAAGGCTCTGTAAGAACCACTCTGACTGTTGGAGCATTTCCTTGGTTCTACACATCACCTTGTTGGAGTGACATTCTTCACAGTGCCGTGAAAGTCTGTGCTTCTGGTTAATGTTGGGAGTATGTGTCAGTACATGTACATAGGGCCGCATCTGCTTTTGTGATCAAGTTCTTGGCTTGAAGAAAAGCTCTGCAAAGCCATTGACGCTGTTGCACGTGTTTAACACAGGGCTATGATGGTTCTAAGACTGAAGGAGTGATTTCTAAGCTGTGTGTTAGTGTGCAAGTGACTGACCATGCTCTGGCAGTGGGGATGGCTCCATGCAGCCTCCTGTCCTGGGCTCATGTGTGTCCCATGCAAGGGTCTTGTCCTGCCTTGTTTCTCCCTGTAGATAAGAGGGAACAGGAGAAGATGGTAGCTCAGGAGGAGGGGAAGCAGAGAGTGTCTCGGAGCAGTTGGGCTGCTGCTGCAGGAGATGGCTCTGGTTAGTACAGGGGTGGCTGCTCCTCCTGTAGGGGTGACAGAGTGTCTATCCTTTGTGCAGAGCTTCTTTCTTAGTCTCATATGAAAATGATTTACTTCACCCAGTGAAAGAAATAGAGGAATAGCATCTCAACCTTATTAAGACTCCTGCAGGTTTTTTTATAATGGCTTTGGCATGCTCATGAACAGTGTGTGCCTGTTCTGGTCATTAGTCCAGCAAGCACTGCCTTCACGCAAAGGCTGCAGTGCTGCTCTGCCAAGGTGCTCCTTGGAAGAACAACTCTGAGCAGCTGCTTCTGTACTTGATTAATTCAGTGTTTGTTGTCTAAAACATGGACCTAGATTCCCTTCATTTTTAAGAGTCCAAATGGAGCTGGCATGCATTGCCCTGCAAGTTAGATGACATTTAAATCTGTATTCTGAAATTGTTACAGAAGACGGCAATTCCTTACCTGTTGGTCACTGGAGCCTGTAAAGTGAGCATGTCCAGCGTGGGGAAGGCAAAAGTGTTTGGAACAGCAGCAGCCAGCTAGGATGGGAAATTAACTCTTTTTATGCTTGCATTTGGCTGGGACTGCTTGCAGCCACATCCCAGCTGGTCCTGCTGATGCCACAGCTCAACACCTCACAGCTGCCCACAGGTGAAGTGGCTGACATTGGCAGGGTTGGCGTGGATTTCCAGTGAAGTTGACAGGGTGGCTGAGAGCAGGGTGCCAGGGCCTTGGCTCCTGAGCTTGTTTCTTTGAGCACACATTTGTCACTTTTTGAGTTAAACCTTTGTTACTGTAAGAGGATTTTATGCAGTAACAGACTGCCACTGTGAGAGAAAATCTGATTGAAAATCCCTTTAATGCTGTGTCTTTAATAATTTTACCACAGTTTAACACATTCTAGTAAATGTTTTATGTATCACTTCATGCTCAGGTCTATTCCTGAGCCAGTGCTCTTTCTTTTAAATCTGGGGAAGATGTACAGTTTGTAAGGGAGAAATTAAAACTACTGAATACGCAGTTTTCACTTGCTGTTTGACTGTTTAAAAAAACAAACAAAAAAGCAGTATATCTCCTAATTACAGCAAGAGAATGCTGGACAAAATGGAAAGCTGTGTTTTGAAATAGGACTTTGGAAAAATGCTTTCTGCCAGTGAAAATGAGGTCTGTAAAACCCGTTTTAAGTACATACAGGCTGAGCTCTTGGCTGTGAGGGGAAAGCATTGGAAAGTGTTTGCTTTTCCATGCAACTTTCAGAAAGTCAATAATTAGTGGCCTTTGCAGAACAACAGGTAGCTTTGTAGTTCATTTTGCTTTGTAGCTTGCTCTGGCCCTTTTGCTGCTTTTGGCTTCTTTTCCCAGCCCCTATCGTAATCTGCTTCCTGAAAAAGGCTGAGCTAATAAAATGAAAATCACACTCCTTTAAATGCCAGGCCTCCGGGCAACAGAGATTAATGGTGTACTTGGCCATGGCTCTGTGATGGTAGTAGGAAAATGTAGCAGTGCAGTAGCAGATTAGGAGAATCATCTGTCACTTAAAATAGCTGTTCATAACAGCCTGGAAACAGTGGGTATCTGCAAAAAGCACTGTGAACAATTTCCCCACTGACATCGTTGCTGGCTGCGTTTTTCTGGGAGCGGCTGCTTTTTCAGAAGCCCATTCTCTTGGTTGAGTTCCAGTTCCCATTACTGCCTGAGTAGGAAGGGCTCTGTGCTAGGATGTCTGTGCTGCTCTTGTCCTTGTGCTTGCTCTGACTGGGATGGAGTTCATCCACAGCAGCCTATACTGTGCTGTGCTCTGCACTTTAACTGGAACAGCCTTGGTACCTCCGCAGTCTTTGTCTATGGATAAGCAGTGCTGGCACAGCATGAAGACTCTCCAAACCCCAAACCCAGCATGCATGGTAGGAGAGGGGAGGGGACATGGCCAAAGGGACTTTATATGTCATAGCAATACAAGCTGGGAAAAGGGAAGGAGAAGTTCCTGTTAAGAATGCGTCCATTCTCCCAGACAACTGCCAAGTTTATTGAGGCTTTGCTTCCCGAGGTGTGGCTGAACATCACTTGATCATGGGAACTTCTCTCTTTTTGCTTCCATATGGCCTTTGCTTGTTTTTCCTTTCTTTTCCCTTTTATTATCTCAATTTGTGATTTTTCTTTTTCTTCCCACATTATTTTCATACTCGCACATCAAAGGGGAGCGAGGGAGAGGCCTGGTGGAGTTCAGTTGGTTGTTGGTGTGAAACCACTACACCTGTCCCTGCTTCTATTGATAGAAGCCTTGCACAGCAGAGGTGGTACTGCTTGGGATTAAATACAGTCTATCCCATTAACCAACATCACTTATGTTGAGATGCCTTATGGATTAATGTTCCTATCCTAAAGTTTGGATACTTGACACACTTGTCCTCTAATGAGGAAGTTCTCCATGACTACAGTTTGTTGAGGGAGGGCAGAGGCGGTGCCTGTGGTGACACCCTTCTCCCCTAGAGTGGCAACTTGCCTGCTGTTTCTGTCTTGAGAGTGGAGCAAAGCTGAAGAGGTGGTGTGGGGTCTCTGAACTAGGTAGTGCAGGTGGACAAAGCTGCACACGTGGCTGGGGGTCCGCCCTTGTGGAAGGCTCTGGGCAGAAGTCCGCGTGGAGATCAGCTGTCTCTACTGGGAGCTGCTGGACACATGGTGTGCTTATGGGTACTGTGACTAGGGACTTGGTAGTATAAGTTCAATCAATCAGTGGTTGTTAGTTTCATTTCTTCATCAGTGGAATGGAATGCTCTGAGGCAGAGTGCCGGACAAAGAGATTTGGGGAGTCTCTGTCTAGCCAAGAGCAGGAGAAGTTGTACAGTATTTAGCTTCATCGCTTCCCAGCTTTGCCCTCCTTGTGCTGATGGAGTCCTTCTGAAAACACACTGAAGTGCAAAGTGTGCAGTGGCACCATTGTTATTGAGAAAGGCAACATTAAATTGGACATTTGTGCTCAATGAAGGTTGCAAAATTGGAAATTACGTACACCACTGACTGTTCTATTCTGCCTATTTGTGGAAATGGCTAATGGTTGGTTACCCAGGAAACGCTTCCCGTGATTTCTACTCAAGTCTGTTGAAGCACAGTGCTGGCACTAGTAATGTGTTGCTGTTACTTTTAAGGAAAAGATGGCAAAGGCTGGTGCCTTGTTTGGGGTAGAAGATACTGTGGGAAAGACAGGAATTCAAGGAATGAAGACATAGTGTCTGAGCTCAGTGCAGACCACAGTATTTTTGTAGTTGTTTAAATCACAGTGTAGCTTACTCAATGGATGCCTCTTCCATTGAACAAGAGTTTCCTGCCAAAAATGTTAAAGGTGTGTTCTCCCTCCTTTAGACTTATCTTTCAAGTTAGTGTCTGTTCCTGAGATACTGCAATGAATTACTGACAACTGTTCTGCTTTGAAGTATGTTGTGAAAACTGTATGTTGTCCTCAGAAAATTTCAAGCTGTGAGTGAGGAAAGGAATTCACCACAGAGTGAGAGGAATACTTGTAGGAGCTTGGAGATTTTCTGTTTCTGATGCACTTGTCTCATCTGAGCTGCAGCTGTCCTGTTGGAAGCAGCCAGGGAGTTCTGTGGACAGTACAGAAGGGGGGGTCAGGTGGCTGTGAGCAGAACCTCTCCTGGTTCCCGCTGTCATTATCATTCCCCAGGAGGGACGTTACAGCCACTGCTGCACTTCTCACAAGTCACTGATGAGAGCAGAGAGGACCTCAGAACTGTACCCTGCTGCTTAATATTCTCTGGAACTTGCTGAAATGAAAAACTATTTCTGGTGTTTTGCTTTGGATTCAACAAGTCTGTTGGACTAATTTGAGTTAGGAAACAGTCCTTTTTGCTGTTATCTGACTTGTGGAATGCTTGCTGAGCACTGAGGCCCCAGGGAGAGAGTTACCACTGCCTTCTCCCTGCTTGGAGTTCCTTGGCTCTTTGAAGCACACTGCACATATTGTTACCCGAAGGTCTGATCTGTCATTGGGGAAGTCAGTAAGATGCTTTGATGCCTTTTCTGAGGCTGAAGTGGCACTTAGCACAACTGAAGAGATGAAGTTTTTGTTGGCTGGGTTGTTCTGCCAGGGGCATGGCAGCAAGGTGCAGTGGCTGGTAGGACTCTCTCCAAGAGGTAATTAAGATAAAGCAATAATTAATCTAATACTAACCAATAGAGCATCAGGACTGATGTATTTGCTCTGAGACTAGAATTTTAGCTTAAAATTGGTAGGCGTGTGTTTTAATAATGGACCAAGTTTTGAAGAAGTAGAAACAAAAATTTTTGAGAGTTAGGAAATCACAGCCTCCACTTTATATAATTTCTGGTTGCCAGTGTTAACAACAAGAAGCCTTATGTTGTCTCTTTCCATGGGGATAACAGAACTGAGGGGAAAATGCAGCTAGTCCTACATTAGGAGCTGCTCAGAAGCGACTGCTTTGCAAAAGTTTAGAGATGAAAGTTACGTACTACTGCCACAATTAGAGAACGAAGCTGTTAGTGGCCTTTCTGAAAGCATGGTTGTTTGGATTAAAGACACTTGTGATAACAGCTGTGTTTCTGGAAAAAAATCTTTGAAAAAGATGCCAGACCTATGTAGGGGGAAATGAAATGTTCTGTAAACTAAAACCCACCCAAGCTGCCTGTCCTGTTTTTATGTGTGTATCAGTCAAAAGCAAACATTTTACCTGAAGTTTGACCGTTAGGGGGTCACCTTTGTGAGCACAAATTATGGAATATTCTTGTGTGTAGAAGTGGTGAAGAGATGACTGTTTCACAATACACGTGTAACTTTCTGTTCTGAATACATGTTTTCTTATGAGACTTCAATTTTGTCTCATTACTTTAGTGACTTTGAGTGAGTGTTTCTTTAATAACAAAAACGTGTATGATCTTAAATGATCAGACTGGTGTATGTTAGATAGAAATAAAAGTGAGTCATGTTTTTAATAAAAAAACAAAGAAACAAAAACACCGAAAAAACCCATTCTGAGGTACAGTGGTTTGCTTTGCTCCACAGCTGTTATAAAGCATGTGGAAAAATTTGTCTCAACAGAAAAACTCCATAACTGAAGCCTTAAACTCTCCTCTCTTTGATAATGTAATATCAGATCTCTTCTTTCAGATTTATTTATTTATATTGAGTGGTGTCTGGAAGCACAGGAAGGTTGCACCCACTGTATTGTACCATCTACCCACAGTTTTCTCAATCTTGGTTTTCTTCAGCGGAATTTGTCGTTTCTTATTTCTTCTGCAAACCGTGGTGCTTTTACTGTATGCTGGTTTCAGTTAGGAAGTTGAGGTGGCTGTGCTTTGCATGTGTGCGACTCAAAAATATCTGAAGAAAAAAACTGTTTTGACTGAGAACTCTCATTTAGCAAATAAACATGTCTGTGGTTATTTTGTGATAATACTTATGGGGGGTGGTGGCACAGGATTGGTGCAAATACAGAAAGAGTCTGAAAGCATTTGTATTGACTGATAAAAGTCCCTCTTAAATGTTTGCACATCAAACCTCTAACAACATGGTGAAAGCATTTCCTGACTCTGCTGCCTTCCTCTTTTCTAATACTGCCTCTGCAGATCCCTTGAAGTTATTTCTATTTCCCTACAGATTGCTGGTTGGAGCTCCTCGGGAAAAGGCCTTTCCATCCCAACAAGCCAACAGAACAGGCGGGCTGTACAGCTGTGACATCACATCTTCAGACACGCGCTGCACACGTGTTGTGTTTGATGAAGACAGTGAGTTCTTCAGTGCTTTTGTTTAAGATTATGCAGGTGTCTGATTTTTCTGATCTGATGCAGTCCTTTCCATTTACTGTATCACACAGTTGCTTCTCTAGGTTTGTACATAACTTACTTGGATTGGAATGTGATAGAATGTGCAGACACTGCCATCTGTAGACTATCTCATGTACTGTAAAGCTCTTACAGAGACAAAAAAAAGTTAACTGCTTTATTTGAATCTCCATTGTGATGCTTTACAGCTGACCCAAAGATGGAGAGCAAAGAAGACCAGTGGATGGGTGTAACTGTCCAAAGTCAGGGGCCAGGAGGAAACGTGGTGGTAAGTTTACAGGTCTAGCTTCCTGTAGACCCAAAACATCTTTGTAAATGTTCTGAATGATCTGTGTTTCTGTGCAGCTTCCTGAAAAGTAATTTCCATTGCTGTATTATTGTAATTTCTTAGAATTAAGGACTTAAACATCTGCTTAGCAAAATAAAATTCTTGAGACTGTAGACATTTTAAATTATTTTTCTAACTCTGAGTTGGTCCTTCTTTGTAATCTTGGCAACAGGATGAATCTTGGTTGTGGAACAGACTTTTTATTTTCAGGTTGTCCACTCCTCCGTTCATGATACATTGTTTCTTTAAAAAAACATCTTGCTACAGAAACATGGAAAACCAGTTTGGTAAAGTTTAAAAAAGGAGCCCTCTTTCATCAGCCTGTTGCCTAGGATGATCAGTCTAACCTTAACTTTACCGAGGGCCATCAGCTGAATTGCTCCTATGTATTTCCGTAGCTCTGGATGTTGCAGCTGTGACTTAGGAGTGAGAGCGAGCTGCAGTGAGAGCTTGTACTAATAATGATGATGCAAGCTATTCTTTCATACACTACTGAGAGAAAAAGCTTTTGAGATTTAGCAGATAATGTTATTTTTGTAGCTTCATAGTTCTTTCTCAAATTCACCTCCCATGGTGCTGCAGGATACCAGCTATATCATCAAATGGGGGTGCAGTGAGGCTCCTCCGTCTAATTATATTCTTGCAGCTTAACCTCACTTCTTCAAAGACAAGACTAAGGCTCAGGATACAACTCTGGGTTATTTATGGCTATAGGGACAGTACTAACTGCTCCAGTCTGACTCGGAACCCAAGGGAGGAAAAGAAGATGGAACCGGTCCTGTAGAGTTAATTCCTCACCAGCTGGTGTCATCTTGCCTGTGATGCGGTTCATGTGCTTCTTAGATGGCCGAAGGCAGCCTGAAGATCACAGTGCAGTTGAGCAGTGCATAGTACTTCTTACTACACGGCTCGGAGTAGGGCAGTGCCCTAAACGAGTATTGGCTATGTATCTGCTTAATGTTTCAGCCTTAGTAGGAGCCACAGGGAGGGAATTTTTTGGTCAGATGAGAAACTTGTCTTGCTTGTGCTTGTCTTGCACTTCTTCCCTCTGAATCTGCAAAAAACACTGCTGTCAAAGGGGATTGATTGGTCCACCCTTTTTAAAGTGGTTTGGTGGTTACTACTTATCCTGGTAGCTCATAATCATTTGTATTTGATTGGAATTCTCTTCTAGGTAGAAAGTCTAACAGCTAGGTTAAAGAACATCTTATACTTAGTGCTGCTGCTTTTCTGCATCCCAGTGATGGTTATCCCATAAATGAAACACCCACCGTAAGAAGTAGGAACAGCAACTCTTCCCTTGCTCTCACTGGAAGAGCTCTCCTCCTGCCTGTGGCACTTTTCTGAAAGAGGTGACTTTGGAAAAGGTGGATGGTAGTTGAACCAGCTCCTTGTGTCCTATACAAGCATGTTGATTATTTAACTGTACAGCTGGGGGGAAACACAGCTAGTGTTTTTGGTTTTTTTTAAACAAGAGATAGGGTTATGGTCTACTCTGTTTTTGAAAGAGAGGGATTAAGTATTAGTTGAAGCTTTAGGGCTAAAACCCCTGAGTCCCAAAGCAAAGAGGGATTTAACTATGCTGCCTTCCCTGATCAGGAAGGTGATTGCTCTCACTTGGGTCTTTAGATGCTTATAGGAAACTCTATGCTGCAATGCAGAGAGAGCCCAAATGTGTCTACAAGGAGAGCTTTGCTAGCACAAAGTACGGCTTATTGAGACCAGCCTTCTTTGATAACTTACATACAAACATACAAAAAGAATTACTTACTGTCTTCTATCTTGCAGACATGTGCACATCGCTATGAGAAAAGGCAATATGTAAACACAGTGCAAGAAACCCGGGATATCATTGGAAGGTGCTACGTGCTGAGCCAGGATCTCACTATTAAGGATGATATGGATAATGGAGTATGGAGTTTTTGTGATGGTCGCTTAAGAGGCCATGAGAAGTTTGGTTCCTGTCAGCAAGGTGTTGCTGCTACTTTTACTAGAGACTATCATTACATTGTGTTTGGCGCCCCAGGCACTTACAATTGGAAAGGTATGACATAGCTTTCTTCCTGCTAAATCTAGACGGACCCCCTTCCCATTTTCTCTTAGATTTTTTGCAAATGTTGCATTCCAAGGTTCTTACTTGCCTTTTTGATGGGTGGGAAGGGCCAATAAACCTTACAGGGTTCTTACGATTTTACCTGATTTTCACGCCTCTATAAAAAATATTAAAGGAGCTTTAAATATTTATAAAGGATTACTTATGAATGGATAATGGAACTTCTCATGTATGTACAGCAACATTTTCCCTTATTAGTCTTATGGTAGGATTGAGTTCTTACTTCGACATTTTCACTGTAACAAGTTACTAAATTAATTAGAAGTTATTTGCCCAATCTTTTCCTCTGAGTTTGAGCATGTTGGATAGCTGCTCTGAGGTATTTTTTAAATCCTTCAGTATTCTCTTTATTCTTTGTAAATTCTGTAGAAGGGAGTGCTTCCCAAATTCTGTACTGGAGGATTGCAGGAAGGTAACTGAGCAGAGCAAAGCTACCTGTGTTCATATCTATATCTATAGATATTTACTCAAGTAAAATTTCACCAATACTTTGACAAAGAGATGGACTTTATATCATGTATAGGAAATATTCCAAAACTTGGGGGGAAAAACTTAACTTCATATATCTGTAGTGAGAAGCATCTAAGAGGCTAGCCCTGTCTTTTTTCTTAGTCTTTTTCCCCCTTGCATTTAGTTAGACCAACAGCTGTAAGTGCTTCCCTCCTTTAGAACAGTGATCCTTAAAACAATAAAATTTCTCCCCTTGTACACCTGTGCCTGCTACATGAACCATGCTGAGTCTTTGAGTTAAGCTCTGGCACAAGGAGTACTTGTGTGAAGGTTTAATCTTCCACATATCTGTTCCTGTCAAAACAGTCTGACCAACTACTCAGTTTAGAGCTTTACCTTAATTGCAGAGAAGTGCTCTTCACTACCAGCCATAAGTACTCTTTTATGCCATGGAAAAACATGTATGCACTTGGCAAAATACATATTTTCTAAATATATTCCCAGTGTTTGCCACAATTGAACAGTATTTTTTGTTATTTTGCTGTGTTTGTGTGTAATTACCTCCCTTTTAAGAGAGACTTAATCAAATTAAGCACAGTGGGATGAGGGTGGTCCATGACCAAGTCAGTCTCACATTTTTGTTGATAATTCTGTCAGTATCTCACGTTTTCCAGGTCACTGCATGACATCTCCATGGAATAGCAAGAAGCTCTGTCACACAGGTTGAGCTCAGAAATTCATGGCCTGTTGAAAGGCTGGTGTGCTAGTCTGTATTTGTCCCATTTAAACAGCAGTCATTGTCTCATTCATGGTAATTAGTACTAGCTGGGAACCATTTATCTATTATTTTTCTCCCTTACCATTCATTTGCTTTTATTTTATCATTTCACTTCTTCAGGGGTGGTTCGTGCAGAGCAAAAGAATCAGACATTTTATGATCTGGGTATCTTTGATGATGGGCCTTATGAAGTTGGTGATGAGAGCCGCCAAGATAAGAATCTAGTTCCTGTTCCAGCTAACAGTTATTTAGGTAGGACAAAGTACATATGGTAAATCTCTTTAGGCTTTTTAAACATGTGTGATCTGGTCTGATGCAATAATATGGAATGGGAGGAGAAAGCTGTTCATGTGATGACCCCGTGATATGTGAATTGTTTGGGATGATGCACGTCTTCCTCCACTTTTACGTGTAAGATGGTACTTTGCTGAGGTACCTGGAAGTGCTGCTAAAGGAGTAAGATATTTAAGAGTGATAATGAAGACCTACACATTGTCAGGGAGTGATTATAATTACTGTCTAATGGTAAGTACTGTGTTTAGATCTGTAATCCTTAGTCACAAGGTCACTGCTATGTGGTATCAAAAAGTTCACTAACGTTTGAGTTCCTGAATGTAATTTTCTGACCTGAGTGCTTTTTCTAAATAAAAAAAAAAACTGAAGACTTTAAAGCCACAGTGGCCTTTTTTCAGGCTTTTAAAAATACTGTAACATGAGTAATATTTGTTTTAAGTGTGTGTGTGTGTGTGTGCAGAGAAAAGTATTGAGCTTTGTGCAAACACAAAAGCAAAAATATGTCCTTAGGGTAATGAATATTTCTGTACACTCGCGAGATAAATTGGTAAAGAGAGTGGGTTACTCTCCATTTTTTAGAATGCCTCTAGTGCAATGTGTAAAGAACATTTCTGGTCTAGTACAGGTTTTTGTGCTATGCTAATCTAGTGCTTTTGGCTTTGACAGCAGATACAATTTTGGTAACTCATAGCTGGAATTTCTGTGTTAATAATGAGAAGTTGAACAAATAGGAAAGATGTTAATATGAAAGCAAGCTGAGTAAAGAGCCAACTTAGAGCTGCATATCTATTAGAAGAAATAATCTTGAGCTAAATGTGAGTAGTGGTTACTGGGTGTAAAAAATTCTAAGAGCTTATTTCAGAAAGGCAAGCTGATAGCCTTTTCATGTGGAAGAGTAGCACTGTAGTGGTGTCTTCTTCTGTAAACAGTTTACTGTGTGTGTGTCTTACTAAACTGAACTTCTGCAATTTCATAGTAAATGCAGTGTTGCATTTATCTAACTATATATGCTGCCTTTGATTTGTCATAATCAAAACTACTTGAAGGTAAGGCTGGCATTCCCTAGCATAGCTGTTCCCTATATTTAGACAGTAAATATATATGGTTATAGCTGCTGTGCTCAACCATTTTGTCTTTTCAATCTTTCACTCATATGTTTACAGGTCTTCTATTTTTGACAGCAGTATCTGATACTCATCCAGATCAGTTTGTGTACAAAACGTTGCCTCCCAGCATACAGGTGGACAAATCAGTGGATGTAATGATGAATAGCTACTTAGGTTTGTGACCACCTGAGGTGGCAGCATCTGGTCACACAATCTTCAGACCTTTAACATGATATTCTCCTTTCCATTCTCATTACAAATACATTGCAAGTAAAAGCATGTGACAGCAGGGATTCAGATGAAGAGTAACTTGTAAAATAAGCTGGCTTCAGAGAAGCACTGATTTGTGATGCATTTCTCCAAGCCCTCTCATCTCTCCCACAAAGTGGACTCCTCTTCCTGATTTTTTTGAAACTGTCTCATTGTGAATTGCTGTAATTGAGAATTTCAATAGTAGTGGTGAAGTGTTTGAAAAGGGAGATTACTATCTGCTGGCTGCTATTTTCTTCCTTGCAGTGTGCATCATCTTACTTTGAGCTTTATTGGCTATGTCGGTATATGCATTATATTGTTTTTGTTCCATTTTTAATGTACTTTTAAATCTATTAACTTTTATAAAGATACTTGAGACTAAATTCATTCAGATGTGTCCTTTAGAGCTGCATAAAATTAAAATTGCCAATTTCGCCACTACTGGATAAAGTGATTCTCAAATACTGTATTACATCATTTAATGTAGAATGTTAAGCATGGACAGTACATCTTGCATGTTTGTAACAGAGTTTATTGACTTGTACGTAGAAGTTTTATAATGATTTTGTTGAAGGTGAAGTACTCAAGCTATATTCAAGTGGTAATGTTTAGTGCTTTCTAAGCCAATATGCTTAAAAAAAATTATCTTGTGTTTACTGTCTGCAAAATGGAGACCTGAGTGAGCAATGAAATAGTACATTTTGTGGGGGAGATAACTTAAACGGAACATATTGAAAGAGGGTAAATTTATGCATTCACCAGTTCAAAGAGAAATGCAGAATTGCCAGAGTATATCATACTCTGCTTTAGAAAACTTCTATTCAATATGCCACTTTAATATAGTAGGGTTATTTACTTTTCCCGTTAACAATATGAGCACTAAGTTGTTTGTTTCTTTTTCTGTTAAAGGTTTCTCTTTGGACTCTGGTAAAGGAATTGTCTCCCAAGATGAGATGACTTTTGTGTCTGGTGCACCAAGAGCCAACCATAGTGGGGCAGTTGTTTTACTGAAGAAAGAGAAAAATCAGAGAGCGCTTACACTGGAGCACATGTTTGAAGGAGAAGGGCTGGCCTCTTCTTTTGGTTATGATGTGGCTGTTGTGGATCTCAACAGTGATGGGTATGGCCTTGGTTAACTCATGCTGCCTATATAAGATAGTAGACCGATTCATTTCTGCTTTGGTTTTTTATGTTTGAAGTGTAAAGAACAATCTTACATGTTTTGCTGGAGGAAATGGTGAGCGTGTCAGAATTACAGAAATGAGTTGTACTTAAATTCATAAGATTAGTGTAAACAAAGAAGAAATAATACCAAAGGAAGACCCAAGAAGTTTCTTGTATGTGGTGCAGGGAATGTAACTGGCTTGCAGTCTTAGTGGATCCTCTGCTAGCTGTTTTTTCATGACTAATTGAAAGTACTTTTTAATCATCTCTGTACAGCAGCAGGTTGACTGATGACCCTGAGACTGTAGTCTCTATGACTTACTTTTCAGAGTTCTTTAGTACAAGCACATTTTTTTTTCCCCCTTCTTTAAGATGGCAAGACATTGTTGTTGGAGCCCCACAGTACTTTGATAGAAGTGGAGACATTGGTGGTGCTGTGTACATCTACATTAACCAACGAGGCAAATGGGAAGGAATAAAACCTGTTCGCTTAAATGGGACCACTGACTCGATGTTTGGTCTTGCAGTTGAAAATGTTGGGGACATTAATCAGGACGGATATCCAGGTGAGTGAAAAATGACTAACAGGAGAACATGCATGATTTTTGTGCTAATGCCACACTTTGAACAGTTGTCCTTATCACAACTGAAAGCTGCAGAAAGAATAAGAATTATTTACGTATTGCAACTTATTTTCAACAGATATCGCAGTAGGGGCTCCATATGATGGTTTTGGCAAAGTATATATTTATCATGGATCCAAGAATGGAATAAATACAAAACCAGCACAGGTAACGTTAACTTCTACTGTATATAATTACTCTTGCACAAAATTAAGGGAATGATGGGGCTCTCTATCTTTTGCCTTTCCATTACTGTAATTGGGTGGTGGATATGCACAATGATTTACAGGAACCTTCAAAGACTGCAATGCTGATCAAAGGAATTAGGTGTTCTTTATTTTTTAATGTCCATTTTTCTCCCTGGGACAGTTCATTGGTACCAATAATGCAAAGAGAAGTAAAAGAATTTGTAGGTGCATAAGTTTTTCTTTTCCTCTTTCTTTTTGAGAAATTCTGGGATTTCTGAAATAGTTCCTTGCCCTTGGTTCAGATAAAATGCTCGCATTAATGAAGAGTTTTCACTTTGGAAATAACTATACATATATATTTTTTCTTCTTCTGGAGATATTGTTTTCTTCATTTTTATCTTCCATGGCTTCTTCCTTTCTTTTTTTCATATCAATTGTTTGTGCCCCCTTTTTTTTTTTTTTTTCCCCTTGAGGACCACTATGTTCAGTTAGCAAGGTGAGAAGGGAACTTAATTATACTTTCTAGAATACTGTTAGAATATTTTCTAGAGTATGTTTTTAAGTTTCAAGTGCCTAAACTGCCTAATTATTACAAGTAAAGAACGGATGGGCAAAACTTCTATACAAAGGAAATCATCCTAGGATTTCAGTGTTGTTTATCTGAAGATAGAGGTTTTCTTTTTTTGTTCCATAAGGCAATGATGTTCACTTAAGTATTTCACTTTTATAGCTTTTCAGTGTCTGAATTCCCTCAATCTGTTTGCTCTTTAGATTCTTGATGGTGAAAAAACAGGCACCAATTTCTTTGGTTACTCTATTGCTGGAAACATGGACCTGGATAAAAATTCCTACCCTGATATTGCTGTTGGTTCCCTTTCAGATTCTGTATCTGTGTTCAGGTATTATATTACAGGACTATAATTATACCAAGATTTTTAGTTTTCTAAAAACAAACTGCTTAGAAATAACAAAGTAGATGTTCGGCCTGGAGTGTATTTTTCCTGTCAGAAGTTAGAAATTCTGAGAAAAAATATCCATGAATTGATTTGTTACTTTATTCCCTGTTCCTTATTGAGAAGCTACCTTCTGATTAGTGCAAGCTAAGAGGGTGAATGTGTGAAGTTGCTGTGGGATGCTGATGTGCATTGCTGCTGTTATATAACAGTAATCCTACTTTATTTAAGATAGAACAAAATAAAGGAAAACCTTACCTCCATAGCTGAGACTTAAAAGTGCTGAGGCTGTGGCGGGGTCTATGAAACGGCACTGAAGAAGCACTGCAGCAGGATCCTGTTTGATTTCTCTAGCACAGGCCTTAATTAAGGATGTACCAGGATGACCTTATGGTCTTTTACAGACTGGTTTTTCTTTTAATGTTACTGTTAAGCTGAATTCACTAGTAATGAGCAGGAAGAGGACTCTCTCTTCCTCAGAGCAGTGAATCCTGTATGAAGTTTGAGGCTTTGGTGGTGATTATTAGGTCTCAAAAAGGGAGGGGTGGAACTGCCAAACTGGTTATCCTAATTTTGGTGGTGAAAAGAAGTCTGCCCTTCAGGGAGAATTGCCTTTCCTACAATCTTTTGATGATCCTGTCTCTAAGGTGTATGGAATCTGTGTGTGTAATTGGAATACCTTTAAATACACTGGAACAGTGTTTAACAAAAGCAGCACATATTGTTTGTGAAAGGGAATAAACTAGGTGGAATGGACAATCAGTAGATTATTAAATGCTCTCCTTAGTCAAACGAAGCTTTAATTATAAGGGCATTACAAAAAAAAAAAATTGTGGAAGTGAGAACTGAACTTTTATGCTTATGAACAGCAAAGTTAAATCTGATGAAAAGAGTGAGGTGGCTTGTTTGGACTGTAGTTTAAACGGCTGCCTTTTCTTATCCCCCATCCAAAAAGGGAAAGAAAGGAAAAGCTGCAAGGCTAAATCATGATTGTAGTCTGCATGCAGAGGAGTCAGGATATAAAAGCATTGTTTCCCGTAGCCATCCGGGCTCCATATTAAAGCTGTTTTGGACATTAATCTGAATGAACTTTAGTACCTACAGTTGCTCACAAGGGCTGAATTACCACTGGTATGGGAACCATCGCTTTGAATTTCCTGTGTGTATAAAATAACAACCATAACATTGCGTTAATGTACCCTGCTCCCTCATTAGGCATTTCCTACTCACTGCTGTAGTCACTTATTCTGACTTGCTTAGCTTAGCTTAAAGTTGTTTTGTTTCTTACTATTATGAAAGCCAAACCCCGTGTTTCTTGGGGTGTCTTTGCTTAAATGCAGGCTTAGAGACATCTGGATTCATACAAACTGTTGCATTAATTTTAACTGAAAATCTTCCTTATTTTACCCTTTTCATTCCTTGTTTTTTTTCCCCCCAAATAAAGATCTCGACCTGTCATAAGCATTACAAAAAGCATTACAGTACAGCCTGACAAACTTGACCTAAAGAAAAAGAACTCTGAAGATCCCAGTGAAATATGGTAATGTTTGAGTTGTTCTGTCAGAAGTTGTGGTGTACTGACATTTCTGTTAGATTCGTTCAGTCAGTTACTGTTAAAGTGGGGGGGATATGATGGCCAATCAATGTCACTTTGCCACTTAGTGCTGTTAACATTTAGGTATATTAACATTAAGGTATCTTAACTTGAACAGCTTTCTCATGAATAGAGATGTAAAAGCAAATTCCAGAAAAAAAAAATTTCTAATTGTTCATTAAACATTTTTTACTTGCTTTGTTAATTCAGTTTAGTAAGCAGCAAATGATTGTTCTAGCATGAAAAGCAGAGTCATAAGACTCATAACATAATTCAGTGGACTATTAAAACTTTCCAGTCCATTGGACCATGTCTTATTAATTTTAATTTCTCTGCACATTTTACAGGATGGATGTGAAAGCATGTTTTCAGTATACTGCAAACCCTCGTAATTTAAACCCAAGAATAAGTAAGTTTTAAAGAGAAATAATTTTAATCTTTGCCGTGTGTGTGCATGTGTGTGTATATATATATGTATACATAAAACTTAAGATGGTATCATGGAAGAATAGTACTTAAAACATAATGACGTATCTCAAACTATGACAGGTTTGAAATGTGACTTAGTACTAAGGACAGTCAGCTATGCAGTATTTGTATTTGGAGCAGCACGTAGTGTCTGGTGTTAGGAAGTTCTGTTGGTAAAAGACTCAACTGAAACCCTGTAGGTGACATAGCTGCTAGTGAGCAAATGGCTGCCATACAGACAACAGCCAGTTTGCCTCTCCAGTTTTTGCTTTAGAAAGTAGTTCTAAAGCCCATTTTATTACATGGTTAATAAGCATTGCTTCTCATTGGACACTTACCCTACAAGAAGTGTCCTGTATTTGTGTGTATAGCTTTGTGGAAATCAGCAACTGACATAATAAATCTCCGTATTAATAGGAGGCTGGGGGTCTCTATCATAAATGTAGTTAAAAATGTAAAGCAGCAGTTTCTTATATATCCTATTTTTTTTTCCTCTTGTTACAATGCTGCTGTTATTACACTTCTGAAAACTCTGTAGGATTTTGAGAGGAAATAAGGAGAATTTTAAGCCCTAACCTCCTCTTCCTCTTGTGGTGTTTGGGTTTTTGAGTTAAGTGTAAAATCCATAGAGGTACTTGAATAGGGTGTTAGTCCTGTCAGCAGCCCAAGTGCTTTCAGCATTGGGAAGCCATTCACATGCATGCTCCTAAGGAACGGCAAATTAGTTTGGTGAGCACAGAGATGGTTAAAAGATGGACAAAATTCACATGTGTCAAACATGGTATGCCCCGCCTCAACAGACATAGCTAGAAAGCTTGAGAATACCACTTTCAGTATTCAAATGAACAACGTACCTTGACCTGAAAATCCTGCTGACTAATCAGCTTACTTGCTACCTGAGACAAGACAGAAAGCAAGGAATCATGTCAGAGCATTTATGGTTTCTTATTTCAGCCCTCTACTGGCTCTACAGCATCAATTACAACTGCTCCAGCCAGCTCTAAATACTAGTAAAGTAACAGGAATTTACTGACCAAAAGGAGGATTTTGTTTGGAAGTTTCCATTGGATACATGTCCCCTCAGCTACAGAGGGTAAAGCAACAGACGGAGAAGGTTTTGTAAAAAACTGAGAATTTGTGAAAAACTTAGCACTGGGTGAAACTATTCTAGAATGTTGCTGTAAAATCATACTTGAATTGTTTTTCTTTGTAACCATGGCAAGGTTTCTTCCTTATAGCAAACTACTTTATTTCTTCATATAGAGATCAACTATACTTTTGAAGCAGAAAATGAGAGGAGACAATTAGGCCTGCCATCTAGGGTACGGTTTAAGGACTATCTATCTGATCAGTTCACTGCAAGTACCACCCTAGTGGGGCAGAACTCCAAACAGTGTGTGACAGCCAAGCTTGTTCTGCAGGTAAGGCAGAGTATTTAATTTTTATTTCATTTATAACAAAACGTGCTCTTTCAGCCTTGTGGTATCTTTGTGGCTGCAACTTAAAAATCACATGCAATATAAGGCTTAGAAATGAGAAAAACAGTAGAACTTTACTATTCTCTGCACACACGGTGCTTCCTCCCACTGCCTTTCTTTCAAAGAGTGAATAAAAGTTGCAGGCAGTGCAGTGCAGTGTGCTGTGGAGGTCAAGAGGGCCAAACCAATTTAGAACAATAGAGAGTAAAAAATGCCAAAAATTGAGAGCTATTGGAAGACACAGAATTAGTATAGAATTTAATGGTGTGACTGACTAGGAAAAGGATTTCAAGCCATGGGTTTTAGATGGCTTGAATGGGCACAACAGGAAAACTTGGTCTGCACTCTCTTCTCACTTTGCTACTATACTGACCCGTAAAGGCAGCACTGTTCTTGTGTGTTATTTTACTGTTATAGTGTTTCATTTGCCTGAGTTACCATTTGTTATCCCTAGCAATTCCTAACTCTAAGAGAAATAATCAGATCAGGAAGGCAGAAAAAAAGATACAGTAAGGCTGGGATTTGTTGTGTTCAGGCATAGGAAGTTACGTGTTTCTAAAGAGTGAATAGTTGTAATACTGCAAAATGTAGCAAAGGAGATGTTGCTTTACTACTTGTTCTAAAATGTGTGTCAAGAGGTAGTCTGGAGGTTGTTTTTCTTCTCTACGCTGTGTGCTAACTATGCCATCTGAAATTTTTATCAGGAAAAAATTAAAGATAAGCTGCGCCCAATTCCTATAGCAGTCAGTGTTAATATTGCTGGCCTGGAGTCTGGCTCATCATCCACCAGAAAAGAGAGAGCGCTTCCGGACCTTATACCAATACTAAATTCAAATGAATCTGAAACAAAGATCACAAAAGTAAGCCTTAAATATCATATTTTCCTAGAATTTTCCTAGAAATCTGTACCGTGAAAGTCACCAAATGCTAAAGACTATAGAAAACTAAATTGTGACCAAAGGAAATAAGTGGTATGGCTCTGAACTGGCTTATGTTTTGTGCTTTATTATGAATGTGTTACAAAATGTTCTGAATTTAGTCCTGCATTTCTTTTTTAACATAAGAGAAAATCATATGGCTGTTAGGCTTTTTCTATTCCCCTCTCCTTCCCAGCATGTCTAGGAGGAAGTATGCTTTTAAATAAGAATGGGACTCTTTCATCTTCTGCAGTGCAGACTTATCCCACATAACAACAATAAAAAAACCATGCAGCCTAATTCCTTCATGGATAGGATGCTGTAACAGCATTAGAGCTCTGCATCAGTGACATATCTGGGAAAGTTATTGAGGTCCCTGTAGCTGCTTTATGCGCTGCACGTCAGAAATCAGATTTTAAGCTAATACCATGTGGCATGCAGTAAAAGTGCTTTGGTTTTATTTAGGTGGAGTTCTTGAAAGAAGGATGTGGAGAAGACAATGAATGTCACAGCAATCTGAAACTTCAGTACCGGTTTTGCACTAGAGAAGGAAATGAAGACAGATTTACCTATTTACCAATGTAAGACTTGATTTAGCAGTGACTACTAAAATTCAAAGTATTGACAAGTGCTGAAAATAAAACAACTTTTTAGACTATTCTGGGAGATGGAACAGCTCTGTTGTGTTGGCCTGGCAAATAGAGTCCTGTGTAGTTGTATCTGTGAGTGACAATCATGAGGGAGTGGGGCTGAACTTTAAAAGAAGAGTGATGGTACAGAGTCAAATGGTGGATGTAAAGTGGCTGCAACCTTGGAGATTTGGTCTGAAATTTATAAGACTTCTTACCGCTGGAGAAATGATGATCAGCTTTGCAGTAGATCTGTGTGTTACTATTAACTGTATAGTTACAGTATGCTCTTGTCCAGTAGCCTAAGCAGCAGTTAAGAGAAGTTAGTGGCGAAATTGTAACACAAAGCTGTAATACAAAGCCAGCATCCCATTGCACCCTTCCTCCTTGGAGGGCCAGTGGTACTAGAAAGGAGATGTAAAAAAGAAAACACAGAAGGAAGTATGTTTACGTACTGTGAAAGTCAGCCTTTAGCAGCCTTTAGCACAAAAATACCATGACCGTTCCTGTGTTTATGTTCTTTACAGTAATTCTTCATTAAGAGTGAGAATTATGTTTGGGTAAACCATAGTAAGAAACAAACTTTGAAACATATTTGTTTCCCTTATGCCCAGCTCTGTATATTCTGTTTCTGCAGTGAAAATGGCATTCCAGTGCTCGTTTTAAAAGATCAGAAAGATATTGCCCTGGAAATAACAGTGACAAATAATCCATCTGATGCAAGAAATCCACAGAAAGATGGAGAAGATGCATACGAAGCTAAACTAATTGCAACTTTTCCAGATAGTCTGACTTATTCTGCATTCAGGGAGATGAGAGGATATCCTGTAAGTGTTTTTAAGAGAAAGGGTATTCAAATTTTAAAATGTTTTTAGCGTAAATTGAATTACAAATGTGTTCTACTTATTCAGGAAAAACAGCTCACGTGTGGTGCTAACCAAAACGGCTCTCAAGCAGAGTGTGAACTTGGAAATCCGTTCAAGAGAAATTCCAATGTGAGTTGCACTTACTTTACTCAAGCTATACAATTTGATTCCCGGCTGCAATCTTTCAAAGTTTCTGTGTCATAACTGGAAATTTTAACTTCAGAATTTGGTGGTTTGTTACTATAATATTGCATATATTAGTATCCTTTTTAAAATGTTCACGTTTCCTGGATGTTCTTTCTCACCTAGGTAACCTTTTATCTGATCTTAAGTACTACTAAAGTGAATGTTGATACAACAGACTTGGACATTAACCTCAAGCTGGAGACGTAAGTTTTCTTTGTGTGTTTCTGCGCATTATATTTTGAGATAAGTAAACATTTTGAATTAGTGGTTTGATTCATAAATGCAATTTAACAGTAAAATGAAAAACTTCTAAACTTGTAAAATCAGCAGCATTGTTTCCTTTCTATTGTAGAACAAGCACTCAAGTAAATTCAACTACAATTACAGCCAGTGCTAAAGTGGTTCTTGAATTGCTTTTGTCGCTCACTGGGTAAGTTTGATAGCAGAACAAATAGGGGTGCAGGCTGGGGGGAGAGCACCTCTGATGCAGACTTCATTACAACCTAATTTGTTTCCTTGTACCTGAACAGAGTGGCTAAGCCTTCTCAGGTATATTTTGGAGGTAACATCGTTGGTGAGAGTGCTATGAAATCTGAAGATAATATTGGAAACCTCATAGAGTATGAATTCAGAGTGAGTAGTTTAGAACAGTTTCTCCTTTTATGTGTATTAATTCTCAAAAATGTTACTGGATTTAAAAATGGATTTTCCCAAACTGCGGGAGCAGGATCTGTTTATCTTTCTGTGTCAAAAAAAGTTTGTCGTAAACTTGGAGTTCGCTACAGTCGTGTAGACAAATGATTTGTTAAGTCTAAACCGTGGGTGTTTCATATGAAGACAGACTTCTAAACATCAGCAGCTTAATGTTATGAATTTTTGATCTTATAAGCTTGACATTTAGTTGCTTTCCAGATGTGCTAGTTTTCATATACATGTTGTCCTTAAGGTGTTTTCACTGGCTTTTAGTGGCTTTCTAATTTCCTGTTAATCTACATGACTCCAAGTCAGTAATGGTGATAAACTTCTTTGGCACAAATTCCACAACTTAAAGAAAGTTTATTTTCACAGGTAACCAACTTGGGCAGGCCACTGAAAACATTTGGTACAGCTTCCCTGGATATCCAGTGGCCAAAAGAAATTAGTAATGGTAAATGGCTGCTGTATTTGATGAAAATAGATTCCAAGGGCTTGGAAAAGATTTCCTGTCAACCACAGAATGAAATCAATTTTTTGCATGTTGCGGTATGTTATCCTATCTTCTTGTGTTCACTAATGGCTTCACCATTAAAACACCACAGCATTTGATAACAGAGTGTAAGAGCTTACCTCTAGAAGGAATTTTTTTGTCTTAGGAAAATTGTAAGCACAATACATAAACAATATGTTAGAGGCTAAGCTTGTTAAGAGACTTGGTAAAATAGATAATGAGGTAAGCTGAAGGACAGATGCTATGTCTCGGTGATTATATCTGCACTGGTACGTTTGGCTCTCACAGGATGAAACTGCTCCTTATGCATTTTAACTGCTTTAATGCATTTCATTAGTGTTACTGAAATCTGTTTATTTTCCTACATGGAAAAAATAATAAGTAATCATTGGCCCAGTATGAGTTGGAATTCCCTGTACTTTTTTGAAAGAGCTTGTGCTTACTTGTAGTGTATTTCTTGCAAATAAATACCTTTATCAAACAAGAGTTTCATTATGCCAACTTAGCAAGCTTTTCTAAGCCTCCTGAGCCCTCATTTTCACTGTTTTTCATATAATCTCAACGTCATCTGGAAGAAGTTGTAATTGTAGCTACTAAAACTGCATGTACTTAAACCTATTCTTATCCTTTGATTGTTACTAAACTTTCTGTGAGTTTGTACTGACCACATCACCTGTAAATCTATTAACACAGTAACATTAATGTCATATACACAGAACAAAAACAAATAGCATGAAAAGCTTTTTACATCTAAAAACTCAATGACATGTCAAAAGAAAGTAGGCAATTGGCTTTTTAGTGGTTAATCTCAAATTTTCATTATTCTGTCATTAGCAATGGCTGTAGAAAAAGGGGGATATATAACAATATCATACTGATCTAGGAACAAAAATTGTTGTTGTGCCTATATGAAAAGAAAAAATGTTTTTGTCACAACTCTGTCTTAATTCTATTTTAAAGGAATCCCATAACTCAAGAAGAAAGCGTGAGATTGCAGAGAAACAGATTACAGACAGCAAGACATTTTCTTTGTTTTCAGAAAGAAAATATAAGACCTTGGTAAGCATACTGCATCAACTAGTCTTGTTGGACATTTCCCTCTCCACTCTTAGCAGGGATTTTTGGAGTTTGGCAGTGTGAAAAATGATAGAGCTTTGATTTGTTTCTGTCTTAAATCCAAGCATTGATGCTTTTAGAATTTATTAATTCTTATTTACCTGCTGAGGTGAGAAAACTAGGAAAGAATTTCTCCATAGTTATCTATGCTTAAAAAAAAAAACTAATTGCACCTTCATCATATTTTCCCATTGCTGTTGGTACAAACGGATTTTGGTTCTTGTGCCTAAATACGATATTTAGAGTCCAATTTTAAATCCTGGTAGAGAATTGTGAAGATGCTTTTACATGTAAAAATTTGTACCTGCAGGACTGCAAGGTGAATGCACGGTGTGTGGACATAAAATGTCCTCTGAAAGGCTTTGACAGCAAGGCATCGATTTTGTTGCGTTCCAGACTGTGGAACAGTACTTTCTTGGAAGTAAGTCCTCTTGCCATTTCTGAAAGTTTAGAGTTCTTTCCTCTCGTATGTCTAATAACTGTATTTTATTTTGGAACAGGAATACTCCAAAATGAACTACCTGGATATTCTTGTTAGAGCCTCAATCAGTGTTCCTGCTGCAGCTAAGAATGTCAAACTTACAAATGAAGCTGCTCAGGTAGGTTCAGCACTTAATGCTAGCACAGATCATGTTATACGTTTCCAGCTTATCTCAAAGACTGGAAAAGATAAACTGTTCTAAAGCAAAAGAAGCTAATATATTGGATTTCTTAAATCAAATTTTGAATTTATGATCTCTTTCACATTCAGTTTGGTTGGCAAAACTTGCTGCTGTATTGAAATGATATCCATAGAAACTTTTTCTTCAAAAACATTACCTTGTATGGAAAAAAAAATGACTATAAATTACAGTTTAATATTAAACATGGATGCTTTTGAAATGCTTTTTCAATCTGTACATATTTTCTTTCCTCGAGGTGCGTGTTACAGTCTTTCCTGCAAAACCAGTAGCCCTTTATACAGGAGTGCCTTGGTGGATCATCGCAGTGGCTATTTTTGCTGGAGTACTCATGCTTGCGCTCCTAGTATTCTTGTTATGGAAGGTAAGTATTTACTTATTTGATTAATTCATGTTTCTTGGCATACAGGTGACAAGATAGCAAACAAATTAAGCAAACAATAAGTATTTTTGGTTTGCATTTGGGACTCAGAAAACAACAAAACAGCCCAAAATGTACATTACCTGTATCAGTTTCTCTATTTTTGAACATTTGGTGTGAAAATGATCATATAAGAAAACTCATTTCTATCCTTGGTAGGAAATATTTCTGTTTCTAGATCCTCAAAAGGAAATGTCTGAAACTTTGGCCAGACCTCAAAACAGCTGGGCAGAGAGACTGTAGATACTTCAGTACAAATGGATAATAGCTGCGGCTGCTGCGGTTAGGTGTAAAACTTTGTGAACTTTCCACAGGTGTTTTAGCAGGGCTTTTTTCTCATGGTATTTCTAATGCTATTAAACTCAAGAGTAGACGGCAAAAAAAAATACAACAACAAAAGATACAAAAATAGCACATTACCTGTGTGTTTTTCTTTTGTATGGGCTCCTTATCTTAAAAACCCTGAAGGATTAAATTCGTATTTAAAAGGAGAAGTTGAGAATTTGCAAAAGAAAAAATACAAGTACTTTTTAAACCGCTTTTGGCATTTTTACAATTAACTGTGTCTCCAAGTAGAACTGGGTAGTTTTTTTATTCTTATTACTTACTGGCTTTAGCAGTTACTATAAGTTGATGGGAAAGAAGACACTCATTTAGAAAGAGTGGGTGAAGAGGAATATCTTGTCACTTTCCTTTGGAGAAATTGGAGCAGGTGGCATTGTTGGACTTACTGCTTACTACAGATGACTTCTCATAGGGTACTTTTGATTTCTTTCTTCTCAAAGAAATGGACAGTCTGTTGCAACTCGATAAGCATTAACATTTTGGATGGGCTGTTAGGTTACAACTACTAGTCTTCTACTGAACATGAAAATGCTCTCATACACACTGTGAACTCCTTCTTTTGATGACAAAAAATCATCTTATGAAGGACAAACATTGTGTATCATAGGCAATTACATGGCTGGGGATGAGACGCATACTCCTGTTGAACAAGTCAAAGCATTTACCCTGTGCATAAATTTTGTATAGAGATCTTGCTGCTCTTTACAGATAGCTTCAGTTGCTACAGACATGCTGTATAATTAGCTTTTCTTCACAAAACAATGCATTAAGATTTTAAAATTAAGCCTCTAAAATAACATTCCTTACACCCCAGGTTATTTTGCTCTTGTATACAGTAAGTTAGTCCCAGAAGTTCTCAAATCTAGTAACAGCAGCTGACTTTTCTTGTGAAAACTTCCTAAAACTTTGGGCAACCAGCCTGTGAAGGGATTACGGAAAGGTTATTCGAGTTGGTTCTAATAGGTTTAAGTCTTCTTCTGGTCCACTGAAATTGACTAAATACCTTCCTTCCTTGTAGTGTGGTTTCTTCAAAAGAAGTAAGAAAGATCATTACGATGCCACATATCACAAGGCTGAGATCCATGCTCAGCCATCTGATAAAGAGAGGCTTACTTCTGATGCGTAGTATTGATCTACTTCTGTAATTGGTAATTGATGATATTTTTTAATTTTTAGCTGTGGTGGCACATGCTGTGGGTGTGGTGGCTAACGATGAAGCTTTTGCTGCATATTTTCTATTAACTTTTGAATTTCAGACTGTCAGTACTTGCTTGCGTATTCTGTTAATAGATTTTCAGCTTTTAGTGTACATAAACACAGGTCCTTACCTTGGTCTAAGAAGCTTTTAGTTCTCTAGAAAACATATTGATCTGTTGCAGTGGTTTTTAGTCCTTTTAACTGACTTTTTTTTAAGCTTTAGAGATGGTAATCAACAATGCAGAGTTAATATTTACAGCTAAGACTACCTAGAAAATAAACTTGCTTTATTAACCTTTTACTGCATGCTTAAAAATAAAGTTGCTAATAACAAAAGGAATTTTCTTAAATAAAAGGTAATTGCTGTGGAAAGACCTATTTTTCTTCAGTTTGGAAAATACTTTTCTAGAAGAAACTTCTCTGCTGAAGCTACCAGGATGCATGACAACTTACGTTTCTTTACTCAACTTGTACTCAAGACAATACGTGCACATACAGGATATTAATTAGAGATGCTGTGAGATGAGGGGTTGGGAAGGAATTCTTATCTAAAATCTGTCGAAACTACATGTAATGAAATTTTCATTACAAGATGGACCAAATTTTTAGCTTTGTCGGTTTTTTTTCCCCTCTAAAAAGACAGGTCTATTGAAGTTTTATTTTTAAACGTTTTTTTTTTTAAACAAGTCCAAAAGAAACCTGACCTCTTTTGTTTTTTTGATGGTAGTATGTAATCACAATTTGGCACAATGTCTCATACGTTCAGTCTTCAGAAACCTATCAACATGTCAAATGTTTGCCAATCATCATCACTGTACCATTGTGGCCAAAGCTCATTTTATTTTGAATATTCATTTCAGTCTTAAGCAGTTGAAAAAAGAGATAAGGTTTTATAGCAGTTTCAATTAACAAGAAAACTTTTGGGGCACAAACAAGGTTTACTGTATTTCATAGAGGGAGGTGTTCAGCAGAGAATATTACAAAATTTAAATTTATGTCTGTTTTTCACTCTGTGGCAAATTAAGCAAGACTTGTGCTCTAATACTACACATGTATGGTTAGTTAAGGTAGTATAGTAATGATGGTGCTTTGAAAAGATGACTCCTAGTGTAAGCTTTCCTCGAAAGCCCTGGAAATCTTTCTACAAGTTTAATGGTAAATTATGTCAACATACAGGAAGGTAATGAAGTACATACCTTCCTTTGATTCAGGAGAAGTAAGCGTTCCTGAACTGTATGTACACCTTTGTTTAGTATGGAGTTTTCTCGATACATGACAGAACAACTTTAGAGAAAGACTCATATGGTGCATTCTAAGTCTATATGTTTTTGTATTCAGTTTTCTTACCTTTATGAAGAATGCATTGCCTCTGTAGTTGTTGTACTTCCACAGCAACTTCAGTCTAAACTCTTCTTTTTCTCCTCACCCCAGTGTGGGTTCTTCCAGCGATCCAGGTACGATGACAGTGTCCCCCGCTATCATGCTGTAAGAATTCGAAAAGAAGAACGAGAGATCAAAGACGGGAAATGCAAGGATCTTGAGACAAAACAGTGGTTCACAAAATGGAATGAGAATGAAAGTTATTCTTAGGAAAAAGTTGTTTCCCTCCTCAAAGTTCAGATAGAGCATAATGCTTTCGTTAATGGTAAACTCGTGGACTTAGACCTATGAACACTATGGACATTTTCGCTGTTTGTATGTAGATATTACTACTTATACTGCGCCTTCTGTTTGCACAGTTAAAATTGCTTTGTGAGTCCTTATTGGCACTATTTAATTTCCACTCTGCCTCTTTTTCCCCCCTTCAAATCTAACTCAGGGTTTAGAAGACACTGTGTTGATTTGGGCTCTCTTCTGCAGAACATGCAAACCCACTCTGGTAGGCTTTTTCCTGTGCTCCTGATGTTCCTGGGAATGCCAGCAATGCATGATTGAGATCAGCATAAATTCTCCAGCCTTCCCTTAAAGCGTGGTCCCTTACAAACACACTGGCCTTAACATATGTAGCTCAAGTATCGTCCGAAGACCTGCAAATCTATTTTAGTCATAAGCTTTGCTGCCACAATAGCTAGGGCTTACAAAAAGCATCATCTTCAGTTGTATGCAGAATAGGTCACGTTGCTCAATTTTTAAAATCAGATTATGTAAATCTTGCTCACAACAAATATACACAGGTTGTTTTTTTGTTAGTTTTTTAAAAAAGAGGCTTGAATATTAGATGTACTTTTTGTATATATATATATTTTAGTCATTTTTGTATTTATTTTTGTTATCAGTTGTTGTCTTTGACTAACTGATAGGCCAAAGACTTACCTGAACCTTGAAACCACTGTGCTTATGAACTTCAGAAGATGAGACCTGAGGCTTTCATTGTATTTTAATAAATCACTGAAGGTGCCAATACTTTCTAAAAATGTAAATATTTATTCCAGTGATGTATGTGGGATTTTTTTTTCCATGATATTTGTAACTTGATCTGATAGGAACTACCAGGTTTTGTCATATGACTTTGTACATTACTTCAGACTATTAAGCAGTTCAGACACCAAGCATAGGTAGGGATTTTAAGATACAGTTTTATGCTTTACTACAAGTGAGAAGTTCTCTGGAAACAGCTTTCCAGCTTCATAAGGACTTCCTGTCTGGCAAAAGGTGTTGACTACTACAACTGTTACAAAGCACTTGACGAGGCTGTATATGCCTATCTTAGCTACAAGGATCTGAGCTGATCCACTTTGAGACTACTGAACCCTCTTGAATACCCGAGCGTTCTTAAGACAACAGCCACAATGTTGTGCTTATCAGCAGTCTAATCATTGATAAAACTGTATAAAGAGTTTACCCTTTTTCTTTTATTCTTCTTCTAAAGCACTGGTACTCCTTAAGAATGAAGATTAGTTTGCAGTTGCTTATTCCATATAGAACGAAATTCTGCTCAAGAAGCATGCATGTTAGTTGTTAGCAGTTTAAACTATGCAAAAACCTCTTGGTACTTTTTCCTCTCAGAGGTGAAAACCTGCAATGAGGGCAGTTGTCAGGTGATTGATTTCTGCTACTAACTTTTAAGATACCTTTTTAGAAGCTATGCTCACCTAAAATGCTATTCTTACAGAAAGGGCAGTAATTTAGTAGGCTCTTCTTCCTCCCACTAAGTAATATCAGCACGTGACCCTGATTTTATGAATCCTGACAAATGCATTTAGCTGCTACTCAGTTTTTGAGCTTTCTTAAAAACAGCTTATTCACTGCAAGGCTCAGCAGCATAAGAAGCCAGGCTAACGAGGTGCTAAGATGCTTGACAACCAGCTACTCCCAGCCTCTGATTTAAAAGCAGATTGTGGCCCTCTCCTGTCAAGACCATGAATGTCTTTGCAGTGCTAAACTGAAAATTGTTTTCAATAAGTCACATCACTGGCAAACTTTTATTTCAAACTTTTTTTTAAATACCAGCTAACAATGCTACATCATTCCATTATTAGAAATTACCTGTGGATATTTGTATAGAAGTGTGAAATAAATTTTTTAAAATTAAACATTGTTCTGGTAATTGTGGTTTTTTATCATAATTACACGAGATAGTCACAGCTAGGCTCACTGGTACATCAGAAAGGCAAACTGAACGTTGCAAACATCAACATTGGTGCTGTAAATATTGCCGTTCCCCCTAAGAGACCTGCCCATTGCCACGGGGCAGATAACTCAGTCTCACACCTGCAGGCAAGCTGCCACAGTTCCTAGCATTCCAACAGCTGGGCCACAGCACTGCTGGGCTTAGCAAAACTAGTCAAGGATCTCACCTGCCTCTGTACCTAGCAGTGAAATCTGCTACTGACTGACAACTACTTGGCCACAGGATCCAGTTTCAACTCATAAAAGACAGAAAAAACAGAATGACACAGGAAAAAAAGAAAATCTCAAAAGAAACCCTGTGGCTTATCTCTAAATTTAAGACATCAAGTCTTCAATTTGCTTTGCTAAAAGGAAGTCATATAATCCGGAAAGTTAGAAAATACTACTGAGATCATCTAGTCCAACCATCACCACCATGCCCACTAACTCACACTCCCAAGAGCCACATCTACTCTTCTTGAACACCTCCAGGGATGGTGACTCCACTGCCCACGTAGGCCACCTGTTCCAATACCTCACCACTCTTCCAAGAGAAGAAATTTTTCCTAATATTCTCCTGGCACAACTTAAGGCAATGACAATCCCTCTCGTCCTATTGCTGTTAGCTGGGAGAAGAGGCCAACCACAACCTCCTCTCAGGTCATTGTAGAGAGTGACAAGTTTTCCTTGAGCCTCCTCCAGCCTGAACAATCTCAGTTCCCTGGCGGCCCCCCTCATTGTGCTCCAGACCCTTCACCAACTTCATTTGGAAGAGGAGCCCTGAAGACGAGAAGGATACTAGACATCCTAGACAAAATCAAAAAAACGACCAACAACAACAAAAAAAGAAAACATCCCTAAACAGTTTTGTAGTTACAGAGCTAGCTCTGCAGCTACAGCTAGAAGTTGATGCTCTTGAATCAGGTCAAAGATACAATATTACTACAAGCAGGCTGCTTCCACAACTAAATCCACAAACATCCACAAGAAACAACAGACTTGGAAGAACAGTTAAATGACCTCTTAACAACTCTGCTTGATGGCAGAAGAAATGTAAGACAGTGATCATCACCACCACAGGCTGTGCCAGCACCAGGCAGGGGCTGAGGGCAGTGTGGGTGTGCCCAGACCCCCTGTGCAGATCTTCTTCCTGCAATACTTCCTGTCTGGAATGCCCATGGAAAACAAAAGAAGCCAAATTCTTTTGTGAATAGCTGACTTAATTATTGATACACTTAAATATATAAAAAAAGTACTGTATATATACACACAACTTACATTTTAACATAAATGAAAGCATCATAGTTTAACCAGCATCCTATACGTTCATATTATACACACAGATACTAGGTATCATAAACATATACACTGGAGTGCCATAGATGGTGGCATATGTATGGTAGCATAAGTGTATAGAATTTGTACTCAAATTCAAATAAGTACATATATATTTGCATCTGTATATGTAATGCATCTATAAGAATATATATACATACACAAGGCCTAACACGTGTGCACACTATGTAGCCTGAGGTACACGACTGAAATCCTAGCGAACCACAGCACATCACTTACGGTTAACCCAGAGCACGGCAGGCACAGCTTTCATCAGACACTTTCAAAGGACGGGGCCATGCTGGCACAACGTGCTGCGGAGAGCAGCTGATAGGTGGGAGAAGAGCAGGCGGAGGGCACGCCTACAAACACCTCAACCATCACAATGTAAGCTGAGGTGAAAGCTTTTGAAGATGGCCCTAAAACACCTCCCCCATTCTGACCTCACATACTGCAGTGCTGTCTCTGCACCAGTGCACCTGAACTAAAAAAAAAAACAAAAAACAATCCAGAATGCACAGAGCCAGAAAGCTGCTGGCGCACAAACATGGGGCACTTTGGGGAGGAGAGAGGATCAGGAGCCTGGACCAGCAGCACAAGGCCAGAGATCCCCTGCAGAGACCCTCCCCGGTCCAAACCCTGCTCAGCGCAGGTCCAAACCAGAGCAGGTTGCTCAGGCCCAGGGCAGCTCTTAAACATCTCCAGAGACAAACTTCTGCAGCCTCTCTAAATGAGCAACCCACGCCAGTGGCTGACAGCCTCACAGCAGAAGTCTTCCTAGATTTAAGGGGGATTTCCTCTGCACAGTGGCCCTTGTTGCCAGTCAGTGCTTTTATGTGGCTTGGCCTTCACCGTGCCCACCACTCACCCCTCCCAGCCCTCACTGCCCTGTGCAGGGAGCCTCCAGCGCCCCATCTCCTCCTCTCAGCATGAAGCAGCTGCTTACTGCCAGCCCACTTTTAAGGAGCACAAAGCACTGCACTGCGGTGCATTACTACACCCCATGCACAGCCAGCTGTGATCCTCACAAGAAGAAAGCAGTAGTGCTTCACCTCTCCTCTTCCCACAAAAACAAGGGTGCAACTGCAGTATAAGCTTTGTTTTTCCAATGGAGACACCCACCATCATCAATTCCAATTTCTGCTTTCTGATCCTGACTCACGTGGATGTGGCAAAAACTCACAAACTCGAATTTAATTATGTATTGGATAAAGAGACACAAAGACATCTCTTTGCCCTTCTTGAACCATTGGTAATTTGATACAGATTCATACAGATGACACTCCACATGTTAGATCAACCTTGTTGCTATTTTTTATACGCTTTTAGTTCTACTTGTGTAAAAAAGAAAGGGATGAAAGCCACAACAAACCAACAGAACTCCATGAAACGTTCCTAGCATAGCAAAAGCAAGATACTGATAAAAATGGGAGAGCAAAGACAAGCCTTTGTGCAGAGCAAGTACACTGAAGAACCATGGGGGCACACCAGAGGGCATCACAGGAAAGTGCATAAGCTGTTGAAAAAAAAGAAAGACCAATATATTCTATATATATGCCCAGAAGCGGGACAATTTGGGATTTGAATCTACAATGTAGC